GCGAAAATTGATTTTCGGCTGTAGTGAAGAGTGTAAAAGGATTGACCCAAGCGATAAAGAGGTCCAAATCAAAAATTTGTCAAAGCAGAAGGCCGAAGCAAAGGAGCTTTATAAAAAGTGTTCCGTACTTGAAGCTGAAATTAGGGCGAAAGAGGCTGAAATTGGTGAGCTTAATACACAAACTGATGACTATTCCGCAACTATTCAAGAAATGAAAACTTCCATCGAAACACTTTCTGTCGAAAATGAGCAGCATATTTTGGAAATAAAACATCTCAAAAATGAAATTTTCAAGCTGAGTCAGTCTCCAACTGCAGTTTTGCAAGATAGCAGAGATGCGTTCTATACAAAATTGTACAACGACCTTTCGGGTGTTTTTAATGCTAGTTAAGTTTTCGGCCCTTGAAGCTCTAGTTAAGCGCTCGTGTTCCAGTAACAGCACTAATAATGATACTGTGACAAAAAGCACGACAAGTGCCAATATAAACAACAACAACAAAAAGTTCAACGCTCAAACGAGCACCGCAATGCATCAATCAAATGCCGAAATGCTTCCAACTAACAGACGGAACAGTCGTAAATTCTCGGCAATCACTGGCACAAAAGCAACAAATAGTGCTGGAATCTCTGCGGCTACCATCCTGCCCAAAACAGCCATTTTTGTTCGTAAATTATCCAATGACGTTTCCAAGGATAACTTATTAAGGTACTTACATGATATATTTGGTAACGAGGAACAGTTCACACTTGAAGAACTTAATTCAAAATCTGGAGATTACAAATGTTTCAAAATTGTGGCCAACAACGATTTAGAAACGTCCTTATTAGACCCGAAGAATTGGCCAATCTATGTCGAAATTAAAAAGTTTCAGTCCTTTCGTCATAACAGAAGTAACCACCCTGCAATCCTTGGTCCCAGAATCTCTAGACAAAAAGGTCGACTTAACCAAGGAAACTATTAATAAGGACCCGGAGTCGTCTGTAAGTCTCTATTATCACAATGTAGGTGGCCTTAGGACAAAAACTCATGAACTTTTCAAAAATACAATAACTTCCAATTACGATTTTATCATATTGACTGAGACTTGGTTAAACAATTCCTTTGCTGATGCTGAACTATTTCCATTGCAATATACAGTCTTCCGGAGGGATCGTGATTATGAAGCCACCAATTTACAACGGGGCGGGGGAGTACTTATTGCCACGAATAATGACTATTAATCCTCCTTAATAGATACTGTTTCATTCGTCGACTTTGAACAACTCTGGATTCAAAGCAACTGCAACGGTCACGAGATAGTTATTGGGGTGGTTTATATACCACCTAGCTCATCGGAAGCAATTTATAAATTATTTGTAATAATCTGTGAATCACTTAAAGACAGATATAGAAACGCCACATTCCTGGTCTTTGGAGATTTCAACCTTCCCTATTTAAATTGGATCATGGAAGATGACACTTTGTTTCCCGAAGCCACACACTGCGGCCGAGCAAACACTTATCGATTCGATGTGTTTTATGGAACTAGAGCAATTGAACAGCATTAAAAATGGCAACAATAGAAGTCTCGATTTAATTTTTGCTAGCAGATTGGATTCCCATGATATAAGAAAAAGTAGTTTTCCCCTTTGTACTATGGTCGATATCCACCCACCACTAGAACTTGAGTTTAAATATAAGGGTAAAAAAAATATGAAAAATACTAATCCTATCAGTGTTTATCTTTTCAAGAAAGCAAACTATGCACAACTCAACGAGTTTTTAAACAACATTGACTGGGAAAATCTGTTGCAACAATCTGACCCAAACGTTGCCGTCGCTCACTTCTATGAAGTAATATACCAGGGCATTGACTTATTTGTACCCAAGAAGGTAATTAAAACTAATAAGTATCCAAAGTGGTTCAACTGGGAACTAAGGAAACTAATCGCTCATAAGAATAAACTGTACAAGAAGTATAGGAGATCGCGACCGGGATCAGATTACAGAGCCTACTCAGTTGCAAGACGCAAATTTAGATATCATACAGACATGTGTTACCTGCTTCATGTAACCAAGACTCAACACTTAATACCATCAAACATTAAGCATTTCTGGTCTTACATCAAGTCACTTAGAAGGGATGCAGGTCTGCCATCCCAGATGCAATTGGATCATATCAAATCTTCTCATCCGAGACAAATCGCCGAACTATTCGCTAAACACTTCAAAAGCTGTTTTTCTGATCATACTAATGTGCAAATGAAATCACTCCGTCGATTTTGGAGCAAATTTGTCAGATCATACGTTCATGGCTGGAGAAATAAGGGAGAAAATCCTTAATTTGGACATTTCCAAGAGTCCAGGACCAGACGGACTATCACCTATATTTTTAAAAGAGTGCTGCTCATCTTTGCTAAACCCCCTTAAACAACTGTTCCAACTTTCTTTCGATACAGGAATCTTTTCTACAACATGGAAATTATCAAATCTCATCCCTATCTTCAAATCCGGAGTAAATACCAACATTAAAAACTATAGAGGGATCTCTCTTTTATCCCATATTCCCAAAATAATGGAATCCATACTGACTGATGACATTTACTCCTGCTACAAAATGTACATCGCTAATGAACAACATGGTTTCTGTCGAGGCAAATCGACGGCTACAAACTTGGCCTGTTATCAACAAGCCCTAACAGTTGCTTTGGAGTCAGGGAAGCAAGTTGATGCCATATATACCGATGTATCTAAAGCTTTCGACAGCATCTCTCATAAGATTCTACTGAGAAAGCTATCATGTATTGATTTCAGTGAAAGTTTCTTGTCCTGGACACGCTCCTACTTAACTGGGCGTCAACAACGGGTAAACATGTGTGGTGTACTCTCACATGAGTTTTCAGTGCCATCGGGTGTGCCTCAGGGATCACACATCGGCCCAATTTTGTTCGTGCTTTTTATCAACGATGTCGTCGGGTGTCTCAAAGGTTCACGGTGTCTATTGTACGCCGATGACCTTAAGCTTTTTGCTAATGTTGATTCAGTTTCCAACCCCCTCCAACCTGACCTGGATAGACTTGCTGACTGGTGTAAAAGTAACCTGTTGAAACTTAATCCCAAGAAGTGCAAGCATATAAGTTTCTACAAAACAACGAATCCAGTCCTGCACACATACTTTCTTGAAAATGAAAGATTGGAGACGGTGGATACGATTAAAGACTTGGGTGTTATATTCCAGAAAGATCTGTCTTTCAATAAACATATCGATAATGTTGTGCTTAAGAGTTTTAGACTGCTCGGCTTTATCAAGAAAAACACCAGAGATATGTATGATGTCAAAGCAATAACCACACTTTACTACAGTCTGATAAGGTCTACATTGGAATACTGTAGTATAATTTGAACACCTAACTATAATTGTCACATTCAGAGGATCGAAAGAGTTCAGAATAAATTTGTTAAATACTTGTTATATAAACTAAGATTTCCTTATCAGGATGTGGACTACAACACTCGTCTGCTGTTGTGTGGATTAACTAGCCTGGAAAATAGACGTCGGAATGCACAATTGATCTTCTTGTATAAGTTGATATGTGGTATTACTTGTTCACCTGAACTTTTACAAGATATCCATTTTCTCGTCCCTGGCAGAAGAACCAGACAAAGGCAACTATTTTTCCAACCAGCCCACAGAACAAATTATGGCCAAAACTGTCTGATGACTAGACTTGCCTTGCCACGAACTATAATAGTCATTTCTTTCATTTGGACCTCTTCAACACTAATCTGAGTTCAGTTAAAAAAGCTATACCTTACTAACTTTTTCTTGTCTTTATTATTGTAGTTTGTTTTTGTTTTTGGTTTTAGTTTTAAGTTCTGCAAATGTGTACCATTTAGATATTTTTGCTCTGTAGTTGTACACTTACTTAAATAAATAAATAAATAAATAAATAAATAAATTCCAGGCAGCTTAAAGTGTATTTTACATAATTTCACTGACACTAATCACTTCACTAATTAACTCAAACAATTTAACTCTTTACAACTCCTACAAAATTCACTATCCAAATAGTATCATAGTCAATCTTAAAACTAAAAACTACTAATACCGGCCTTCATATATCCGTAATCAATTCTTGTAATATCCAGAATAAACGCGATAGCCCTTTTTCCCTAATAGCATCGTAAAATCCAGGATCAGCTGTCTAAAGGCCGTATCAGACGTGCCGTTGCCGATTACTATTAACGATTACGATTGAAAATTCGACCAATCAAAATGTACCTGCTTCTGGTTGCGATTGCCGTTGTATGTTTAGGTTGGAGTCTAAATTCTATGATGCCGTTCTGAACCGTAGCCAATGAAAGCGCTTTATGAACAGCATGTGTCATGTGTCTAAACGTCACTTTTTAGTTTTGCAATTTATCGCTTCTGGTACTGCACCCATACCGATTTTGGTTTGGATCTTTCTCTTTCCTCTTTTTCCATTATAATCCCAGATAACACAGAGGGATCCATAAGACATCCATTGGTTGTCCACTGGACGGCCAAGCAAAAATACTAGGAAGTCCGATGGACATCCAGATTAAGTTCAGTGGATGTCTCATGGACATCCTCTGGCTATCCAGTTGGCACAGCTCTGGATCATTCCTGGATGTCCAGATCATAGCCATGGGGTACCGCTTAAATATCCATTTATGGATGTCCACGAGGCATCCACTGGACTACTTTTGGACATCCTATGGATGACCATGTCCAGCAGTTTTTAGGCCATTTATGGAATATTTTGGATACTTTATGGATGTTCTAGCGGCATCCATTTTTTCTGCCATTCATGGAATACTCCTGGACATAATATGGTTGTCCATAAAGCATCCATTTATGGACATGAGCTGGAAATCAAATTTCAAAAAAATTGCTGTTAAACAAACTTTATTGGATCATTTTATTACTTACACCTAAAAACATTATTTACATAAAATAAGTTTGTGTCATTATTCTGCGGTTTATTTAGGAAAAGGAAAATTATTTAGTATATTCTCAGAATTAAAAATAAAAAATATATTATTAAGTGAGCTGTGCATCGAAATTATTACTGAAACTATAGTTTTTCAATTTTTAATTCTGCGAAAAAGCTTAATAATATCCTTTTCCTAAACTAAACCGCAGAAACAAACTTTCAAAAAATATTATTTTTTATATTAGACAAAAAAAACAGTTATTCTTGGCAAATTAACATTAACATAAAATTATTAAATAACATAAATCATATACGGTCGAAAATACTGGACGGACAAAAAGTGACACTTCAGTCCCTGTCATGAGGGAGTGAAATTGTCGCTTTAGTCCCGGAAGTACGAAAAAAATATATATTTTTTTTTAACAATAAAAAAAAACGACTATTCTTATAGGAACTACTAAAATATCAATAAAAAAATATTGTTTTTTGTCAAACAAAACAAGTTTTACTCTCAAAGGAACCCAACAAACCAAAATAAAAACGAAGATAGCAGACAAGTGTTCACTTCCTTTCTTTTGCTCTACGCATCCAATTTTTGATACTAGTTTCAATGTCCTTTCTAGAAGAATCCTTAAACTTTTTGAAAACAGCATCTGGAACAATAAATTATAAAATAACTATAACTATTTAGACTGATAAATGCAAATAATATACCCTCAACGACTTGCATTAATAAATAGACGTAAAAGCTTAAAATGCTAGACATTAAATTTGCATTTTACGCCCTTAGTACAAAAAATAGTTACTATTTTTTGTATAACTAAGTACCTTTTATTTTAAAATCGAGTAAGACAGTCAGCAGTTTTTAAATTCTAAAAAATGGTTTAAAACTATTGTATGATATACTACTTACCAAACAACACACTGCATAGTTTTAGTTCTGAAAAATTTTTTTTCCCTTTTTTTCCAAAGTAAGTATAGGTCTCCGCCAATCGGTTTGAGATGCAGAAAGACAGGCCACGTTTCACGAATTGGTTAATGTCGATCCCTCCTATCTTAACAACTTCTTTAACCTTGAATAGATAGAAGAAAAATTAAAAAATCAGTATCATGTCTGTTTGAATACGTGACTTTTAACATTTGTATTTTTATAATCTAAATAAATAGACAGAAACCATAGAAAATTGAGTTAGGAATATATAGGTACTTACAACAATTGCATAATTAACATCATTCGATAAATACTCCTCAAAACCTGTTAAATCTTCTTCGTTGCTTAAAGGAAAATTAAAATCTTTAATGAAACTTATTTTGCAAGTTTCATTTATTTCTGAAGGTTTATTATTGGTATCAATTTTTTTGAGTGTTTGATCCATTTCAACTGTATAGCCATGAATTTCTTTAATGTATTGAAATAAAATGTTTTGTTTCCGGACAAGATCTGTCAAAAGCTTTCCTGAAATTAAAAGAAACAAATTTTGATCAAAAATACTTTGCAAAATTATAAATAAAATTCAATACCCAAAAACTCTCTTACCATGCATCTTGCAGCAGCCTGATTCTGTCGCTGAAACGTCCACTCTGATTTCATTGGTATTGTCACATCGAGGGTGTTCTAAAAAATTAATAAAAGGTTAATTTTTAGCTATTAAACGTTTTCGATATTTTAACCAGAACAGAACCTCCTTGTTTGATTTCAAAACAAAATTATAAACTATACATTATAAAATGAACTTTTGTCTTAAAATTATTTTTTTAATAAAATATTAAACTCCAAGCAGTTTTGGACATACCAATTACTCGACCATTTCCTAGTGCTGATCCTAAATTCGATGTCATACTTCCTAGAGAAGACGTCGAAGACGATGACGATCCCTTCGGCGATAATATATTATTGGCATCTGAACGTGGACCTCTTGCATTAGAATTAGCCAGACGAACAGGATTTTCTAGAACAAAACAAAATAGAACGATATTTTTTCTGTGCTACAATATGTAATTACGAAGTGTCTTTATTTTCATGGTTTTATCAAAAACACTTATCAGGAGAAATATTTTCACCTTAATTATTTTTAATTTCAAAAAATTCAAGTTTTATTACCTATTGAAGTTATAAATTTAATAATAATCAATTTCTCAACATACCAACCAAAATTGGGGCCGGTGGTAATGAATTTTTTTTGGGCTTACAGCCTCTTTCCTTTTCGTCCTCACTAGTAGAAATGGGGCTGGATTCCGGCGAAAAAACTTTTTTTGTTCTCTTTTTTCTTGAGGATTTTTCATCACCAGTATCTGAACAGAGGTCCGAGAACATTTCGGCAGTCTGACATTTTTTCCTAGCCGTAAGATAATCATCTGCAAAAATATAAAAGGAAACTGCAACTAAGTGATTTATGGGATTTCAGATTACTGTGAGTTATGATCAACTCACAGAATAATAATTGAACCAGAATTAATAAAAGAACTATTTAGATATCTAGGACTTCTGTTTTAAAAGTTATTAGTATTTTAAATACGTCAAGATAATCAACGCCTTCTATTAATACTCTTACCATATATTCCATTACGAAATATTTTCACAGGGTGCAGTGGCCAGCAAGTGTTTGGCTCCTCATTATTTTTAATAAATTTTAGTAGTTTTTCCTTATTAAATGGCGGCCAATAGCATTTGTTATTATAAATCCATGAGGAGGGCACTGCTTCCACTGCATTTTCCTCCTCAAACTGCACTACACTCCACGTCTTATCCATCCTTTTTTTTCGATGAGCAACGGAATTTCAGTAATTTGAAAAATTATACCAAATGTACAACTTCAAATAAACTAGCTGTAACATAAATTAATTATTATTACAAATAGTAGGAATGCAGTTATATATAGTTACCTTTTGAATTAGCAGACAATAGCTGGTATACCAACATATACTTAGAATGATAATTGACCATTTTTAAATATTTTAATTTACTTATAGAAAATATTTTTTAATTTTTTTTTGATAGAGAATGAGTTTTGAAAAATATGAGACATTATCAAGAAATAAAGTTCAGTTATTTTTGTACCTAGGTTAAACGAGACTTGAAAAAATACACACATTCATGTTAGCTGTGATGTTCATTGTAAAGTGTACCAATGAATAAATAAAATAAATGATATTAAAGCAAATCACTTCCTAGGACATAAAACTACCAGCTATCCCAAAATGTTAATTTAGATGTAAGAGTGGAAGCACTAGAAAAACATCATCCTTGAATGGTTATTTCAAACATTTTGAAGTTATTTCGGAAAGTGGCCACTGTTGGAGTTTGTCCAAATTTCTTACTAAATAAATGCCAAGTAAAGATGATTTTATAGGTTCAGTAAAAAAATCAGAAACATTTAGAAATCTATGTCCAATTATATATGGCAAACCCTTTTTTATTAAAATGTTTCTTATTAATATTAAATTTCCATTTTTTAATGAACAGCAATGATCAGGTGATTCCACAGTTAACAAGAAATTTTGACAATGCACTTTTTGAAACTGCTCATATTCTTCGTCAATATCGATAAGAGGTCCATTAAAATGTCGTGATTTGAAAGTAGGTTCATCAACAGATGATTCTTGTTTATAGAGAAAATCATTGAGTTCAGATTTACGAAATACAATTTGGGCTAAAGGTTTATCTTGTTTACGTACTAATTTTAAAATGATTTGCATGAAATTTTCAAAAGGAAATGCTGAAAAATTAAATAATGGACCGAATTTAGTAAAATCTGCATGGAGGTGCAGAAGATTATGAATGTTATGGGAACAGTGTTCTTGGCCATAAAGAAGACTAAAAGTATGGACAAAATATTCCAGTAATTCACTTGCATAGTTTGTTAATTCTGTGGAAGCACTTGGACTGGAAAGGATGTATATTGATACATGGAGAGACAAATCTATCATATTTAAACTAGGTATTTTTTCCAAAATACTAGCCCCCAAGTGATGTTCTTCTTGAGTTTTCTGTCTAAATTTATAGTTATTTCTTAAAACCAAGTTATTAACATTTGGAAAGCAAACTCTATTTTGTATAAATACCCCTTCAATCTCACACTTAGAGCATGAGTAGTATCCATTATGCCCCTTAGTAGAAGTGATAAAGGCCTTTGCCGGTACATCTACAATGAATGCTTTAATTGTAAACTGATACTTCTGATCATTAATTATAATACCCTGTTCTGAAAATTTATTCACTTCCTCCACAAAGTCTTTAAGAAATTCGTTCACATTTTTGGGTTTTTCATTTCCATGGTAAATACCTATTATGTCAACTACATTTCTATTTTGCACTAGTGAGCAAAGTATTGGATAAAACTGAGATCCAGAACTTTTTGATAGTGGAAGTCCATCAATATTAACATAAATCTCAATTTTGTCTATAGGCTTGTTTTTAATACAACAAAATAGGTTCTTAATACATTTTTCTAGGCCGAAATGGAAATATTGTCCAGGAAAAACAATTTTATATTCCAAATTTCTAGGTGTATGTAGTAAACTTCTGGCATCAAGGGGCAATTCATTAAAAGTTGGTTTCAATCGTTTTAATAAATCAGACAATGCAATATGAGATATGTTGAATTTTAAAGCCCACTCTGTTAATTCCGAAGTGATATCTTTTTTTTTTGTAATATTGTCACTGACTCCTAAATTTTGGACAACATTGGAAATTGAATCTTCTAAATCTGAAAAAGGTGAGGGTGAAACTGGGGGTGAAAGGGAAATATTGATATCTAATTCTTTATTGCCATCAAGATCAGGAGGATCTGCCCCGGGATCTGCTAACGTTAAGTCATTATTGAAATTCTCAGAAGCTACCATGAGTGGTGTGGCGTGTATATTCACATTATTGCGAGCATTATTGTCAGCTTGGAAATTATTACTTAAGTAAACATCAGAAGAAACATTATTTTCTTGATTATTATTAGTTCCACATATATTTTCCAAACTCATATCACTATGCAATTTTGCTTTTCTATATTTTGATCTGGAAAGTTTAGGCATTTTATTTGAAAAGTGAGTTGAAAAGTCAAGTAATCATCTAAATACTGTTTCACTGCTATCTATAAATCTATAATCTCATCAAATAACAGTGTTTTCCAACCTAAAAACAAAAAAGATCTATATCAGAAAATAGGTAGTACCTATGAATAATTTTAATTTTCTCACTAATTATGTATTCACCAAAATAAAAGTTAGAACAGTACCCAAATCTATAGACAGCTCGACTGTAATTTTTTTTTTTTCAAAAAAACTATTAGATTGATATTTGAGGTTGTATCAAGGTATAACTTAGGTCTCATCTATAAATATACCTACTCTTCATCTAGCAAATAAGTAAATTATAAAACGGGCTACGACCAAAAAAATTTGCCTTTTTTTTTAGATGAAATATTCATAGCAAAAAATCATAAATCATAAATAATGAACCAAAAATATTTTCATGTTTTGATAATAATTTATTGACGCCATATTGACTGGGTTTCAAAATTTATTGACACATTATGGTTAGATTTTACGATTTCTTTCTAATTTTGTGATAAGCAGAAATAATTAGGTAGGTATATCTATTAATTTCTTACCTGATGGGTGATTGATCCAACAACATCCAACACTGCAACACGACAAAACTTTTGCGAAAAAAATAAACAAAACGATAGCGTCCTGCTCCCCGGGGTCACTGGTTTCAATGGAAATGGTGGCGTTGTGTTGTGTGCGGTGACTATGTACTACAACACTACACCTACAGATTAATTACTAGAGGAACGTTCTTCAAACGATAATTCTGATTTTCTGAAAGGCGGAAACGAACAACTACCTGTTTTTTGGCAATTTTTAAAGTAGAATAATTCCGTTGTTGCGTACGAATACAGCGGTAGAGTGTATCGTTCAAGCAGGCAGCAGCATGAAGGAGTAATGGCTGCTGCTGGAGTGCTGGCTGGCCGCGCAGATGGCGAAACGCAAGATGCCGCGCCCTGATTGGCTGGCGCTCGGTCACGTTAACTTCTATCCCTTTTAATTGGGTGACTCCGTAGCGCTCCTATCGACTGTACCACTGTACTATCGACTAATTTCTTAGACAGAATTTCACAAATGGACCACTAATACCTACCTACCACAACTTATTAATAAATTAAATATTTGAAAATTCATTTTTGATTGTATATAAGTACTTCACTAAATAGTTATCCACTAGAAAGTCATTGGACATCCCAGGAGTTTATGCCATGCATGCATCACAAAATTATTTCGATTTTTAGGTTCATTTATGGACACTGAATGGATTTCCAATGGATATCCATTCCTGGCAGTTCAGTAATTGTCCAAAAAAAAAGTCCACTGGATGTCCATTTCAAGACCATGATATTTATTTACATTTGTGGACATTAAATGGAATTCCAATGGATATCCGTTCCTTTCTGTCCATTTAATGTCTAAAAAATATAGTCCAATGGATGTCCAGTTTGTGACCATGATTTTTATATACATTTGTGGACGATAAATGGATTTCCAGAGGATATCCGTTTCTTGTGGTTCAGTTTTTGTCCAGAAAATATAGTCCATTAGATGTCCAGTTTATGACCACGATTTTTAGAAACATTTGTGGACACTTAATGGATTTCCATTGGATATCCGTTTCTGGCTGTTATCAGTTATTGTCCAAAAAATATAGTCCATTGGATGTCCATTTAATGTCCCTGGACATCTGTACATATTTTGTACCTAAAATGGATATCCATCGGATGTTGGGTGTTATCTGGGATCATATAGCACAGCAACGCAGAAGAAACTTTCCGACGACGTTCGGGGCTGTACTTTGAATATTTTAACTGCGACATTTTGACGTTATTAACATTTCAAGTGACCAGTAATCGGTGACGGAACGTTGTCAAGTGTGATTGCAACCGCGACGGCAACGGCAACGGCTAACGGAATCGGCAACGGCACGTCTGATACGGCCTTAATTCTGTACATCCTGGCGCTTCCGCCAGATTTTCGCAACAATATGTTCTTTCCGTTCCAACTGAAGTTTTCATCAATTATTAGTGAACTTTCTATATTTAATTTTGCTTTTGTTCTAAATTTATTGGTTAATTATTTCCATTTTGAATGTTCCTTTTGTTTATAAACAAGAATGATGATTTATCAAAATTAATAGTCAGTTTGTTTATATATCATATCGTTAGCCAGGTTTCTAAGATTTTTAAATCATTTTGAATTTTATGTTGTATTTCTTTGGATGCTTTACTAAAATAAATAATAGTTGTATCATCTGCAAATAATTTAACTATGTATACCATTTAGATTTAATTTCCCAATTGAATTTTTGCAAATTAAAAATAAAATTGGCCCCAAAACTGATCCTTGAGCGACACCACTTTTGATTTCTTCAAATGAACATGGCTACTGTTGACAAATTGATTTATATTTTCCAAATAATTTTTTAACCATTTAAATACAGGATATTTGGTGCATCGTTTACCAAATTTAACTGTCCGAAAGAGGGGGCTATTTGCCAACTCTTCAGCCATAAAAACTCATCCTTGACCCCACGGGTTTTTTTCTTAATTTCATTTTTTTAATTTTTTTTGAAACTCAAAATTCGCCATTTAAACTTAAATTTGAAAAAAAGTTGTTGGCATAACCTCCAAATTTTATTTTTATTTTATATGTACTGTGGTATAGTTCCATTAAATAGAAAATTACTTGCCATTTTGCTTATTTACGTTTTCATACCAAATATCGAATATTAGCCTGCTGTGTTCCGATACACAAATTTAGCAAATTAGTGTCACTGGAAAGGGGATAAAATAGAGAACCTTTAAGAGAATTTGAAGATTACGATCGACTTTAGTTTTTTTTATTGTAATGGAAATTTCACTTTTCAATTTATTTTTACCTGTTTCAAAAATTTTATCAGTTAATAATAAAAAGACTAGACGCTAATGGCAAGTAATTTGTATTTGGTGAAACCATACCACAGTAAAAATAAAATTAAAAATAAAATTTGGAGGCTAGGCCAACAACTTTTTTTTGAATTTAAGTTTAAATGGCGAATTTTGAGATTTCAAAAAAAAAAATTAAAAAAACCAAATTGAAAAAACCTTAGGAGTCAAGGATGAGTTATTATGGCTGAAGCGTTAGCAAATGGCCCGCCCCTTCTTTCGAGCAGTTAAATTTGGCAAACGATGCACCAAATACCCTGTATAATACCCCTAATTCCATACGTATATAATTTTTATAGATAGGTATAGCATATATTGTTTTTGTCAACTTTTAGTTGAATGTCAGTTATTACATCTATAATGCTGCTGTTTCTGTGTTTCTGCATTTCTAGATTCCCGAAAACCATTATGATCTTTACACAGTTCATTATTTCCATTGAGAAAATCTTGCAATTTTACAACATTTTTTACAAAATTGGTAAAACTGAGACAGGTCTATAGTTACTTGGATTGTCTGACCTGCCTTCCTTAAAAATGAGTGTTACATTTGCTATTTTCATTTTGTTTGTATAGACAAAAATAGCTATTTATATAACAAGTACATAAAGTAAGGCTTTATTGTACGAATAATTTTATGGCTGAGCGAGCGAGGCTATTAAATAATGAGTCAATAAAGACTGTTTATGTAAGCGCTATATACATGATTTTATGTACGATTGCGACTGGTTCCTATTAAAAATTGAAAAAGTTAAAATTCGAGTATACCTGTTTCACCTTGTCAAGTTCTCAAGTAGTCCAGGTGAGCAATATAGTAGCACTTTATTTTACAGTAAAATAAAGTGCTACTTTATTGACGCAAAACTGTTGTATAAATAGCACTCTATTGTTCAATCGGACATAAGAATTATTGTTCTAAAATAGGAATAAGCTCGTTTTTTACGCATTTTACAGTACCCTTACGTTCAAATTTGATATACTGTCTACTACTAATGACTCCAGTTCTTGCTATCTGGTAATGGAAAGTGTTCTAGGTTGTTGACGGATCGGAAGAGCACTGCCAGTACCTATCTATTTCATGCTTGAGGATGTTCGTTTCACCAGTTTTGCCATATTTACCCTCAAAAATTGGGTAGGCTCATAGGTGGCTATATGACATCGCCCTTGTTGATTTGAATAATATTGTGGCAAACGTTTTCTTTTCGGCTTGGTATAATTCCTTGCGTTGCGAGTTCACCTAGGTTCTCTTGACAAGTTGTTTCTTGCGAGTTTTGGTGCATACAGAGGTAGTAAACCTCTAGGTACCAACAAGATTATGATGGTTGTAATTGTAAATAAAATAGTATAGGTACAAACCTCGGTAGGAAGTTTCATTTCTGTCTTGAGATTATAGTTAACTTCGACGTCTCGCATTTTAGTTAACTAACTAATTTCTCGACAGTGATGATTACTGAAACACTTCCCACCTCGGTATGTAATATACTGTAGCGTTCGCCAGGCTGTCAAGAATCTTCGGCATTTGCTAGAATTTACCGAATTATTCTACTTTGTTCGGGAACAAGGTCGGACGCGGTTCTTCTAGAATTCACAGGAATAAATTACGGCTATATACAGGGTGTCCTTAGATAAACTGACACATTTTGCAGGTAAATATCTCGAAAACGAGAAAAGATAACGGGATGCGGTTTGTTTTGGCAGAATAAGGATTTTTCAAAGTTTTTTTTCATGGCATTGACAAATCCTGAAATTTGGTTTTACAGACATTCGATTTTTTGAAATAATTGCATACTGCCTTATTCTTGATGAAACACCCGGTATATTTTGTCATCGTCAGAAAGCGTGACTTTTCTACTTTACAAAAATGTATAATTTTTTTCAATTATCTCGAAATTGGATCGTAAAAATTGCACTTTGTTAAAGAGTGTACCATCGACTGGCCAAAAAAATAATAATAACTAATTTGTGTTTTATATGCACTTGCATTATTAGTTTATTTGTGTTTAATAATTGTATTATTAATTAATTATGCGCTAATTAGTTAATAAAAGTATCAAACACAACTTAATCATCATTTTTTTTTTTTTGGTTAGTCGATGGTGTTCTCTTCGACAAAGTGCAATTTTTACGATGAAAGTTCAAGATAATTTGAAAAAATTATACATTTTGGTAAAGTAGAAAAAACAGGCTTTCTGACGATGACAAAATATACAGGGTGTTTCATTAAAAATAAGGCAGTCATTTTATTTCAAAAAATCGCATGTCTGTGAAACCAAATTTCAGCAAATTTTAGGATTCGGCAATAATGTGAAAAAAAACTTTAAAAATTCCTTATTCTCCTAGAACAAACCGCATCTAGTTATCTTTTCCCGTTTTCGAGATATTCACCTGCAAAATGTGTCAGTTTATCTAAGGACACCCTGTATAAGGACGGGCTTTAGCTTGTAAGTTAAAGTTCAGTTCGACTGTGATACGATTTAAAATAGTGATTATTGTTGTATAGAGTTTAATTGTTGAGTTAATTTTCAACGTAATTAATGTCAGAGTGTATTGTTACGTGGAATAAATTATTGCTGTGTTAATTGGACTTAGATTTTTGGAATAAACGAAACGAACCCAAGATTTCTGTCAGGCAATCAAAAGCCGTGACAATACTATCTAAATACAAGATGCATGTATTGTGAATGAAAATGACGGATTTTTTGACGGAGTTATTAGACACTAATTGAAAAGTACAAATACTCCAGTGCCAAATGCCAGGATGTTGAGCTGGTTCTCGAATGCAAACCCATTTTGACTTATAGAAAATCTGCGCATCCAAAAAAAAAAAAGAATCTTCTGTCAGTAATTAGCACTGAGTGATAGGGCCTGATATTTCCTAATTTCAAGTCAATTTTGTGTTTTTCCATGTAGACCAACATTTTCTAGATTCAAATGTGTAGAAAATAGAGGTTTTTTAATCAAAAATATATAATTTTAGATCGAAAAATAAACGACGAATTGGATAATCACATAAAAAATATGGCGTTCCATTTGAAAAAATATTAAAATAGCCCCTAGCAGTTTTATTCGACCTTCAATTGCCTGACACTTACAAAACAACTATTATTTACTGATCTTTGACTATGAGTGTTTATTGCAAAAGACAGCCTTGTTCTTGCGATTTAAAATTTTTCGAAAAATCCAAATAGGTAAATTTTTTATAAGCCTAGATAGAATATAAAATCCTCAAGTTTTATGCCAATTCAGTGTGTAGGCAAACCTATTATTTATAGACATTTTCAACTATTGAAACAAAAATTTTCTTGAAATTCAAAAGACCATTGATGCTAATATTTTGGGATTCAAAAGAACATTTTATTGCCTCTCAAAGGCTCTATTCGGAATTTTTCAGTATTATCTCAATTCAATACAGGGTGTTTCTCTAACTACATCAAAAAATAACTGTGCTTAAATCGAATCCTGCCATACCAAAACCAAAATTAACTTAACCTTAATTTTGCGAAACCCATATAATTGATATTAACGTATAAGTATCTCTAAAGCTTCAAAATCAGTATGTTAACTAAATCGAGAAGTCACCATGTCTTATAGAGTTAAAAGATAACCATCGAAACTCGGTCTTAAGTTTTGCGAAACCCAAATTATGTTTTTCGATATTAAGAAAAGGTGAACAAAGTGAACATGCTTACAGTGTTTTTGAGAATGCCCTAGCTGAGATCGCGTTTCAAAGATTCTCTACAAATAGTGGAAAATCCGAAACGTTAGATCAATCTCTAGTTGAGTAATTTTGCTAAATTATTAGACACTTTGGCAACACGTTATATCTTATCTAAATCAAATAAACACAATAAATAATTAATCATTAAAGTTGTTAACGTCAATAAGGAAACCGACAATTAAAAAATTCGACAATAAACAAACAAGAGATAGTACCACGAAGCATCCGGAATTCTCTTAAAACGATAAAAACCTCGGATTGACAACTACTATCACAGTTTAAAATTTCCGCAACACTCATACAGTAATGGTTTCGTGGATTAATAATTAAGTTGATTCATAATAAGTGAGTAATTATTGAACCTTCAAGCCGGTCAATTAGCCAATTAATATACAGGACAATATTATACATCGCTTTGTCGATATTTAACGTATCGTTAAGTATTTATTCTTATTCTCGCGATGCATTATACGGTTGTAATTATTGTTTATTTAAGCGTGAATGTTTTTCCAGTGATTTCTTATAGTTTTAATAGTGAAAACGTAATACTCATCAATCAGGATAGTGTAAAAAATACCTATTTTTCTTATAGTTTGTTATTGCAAGCTGGCGAAAATGCATCTTCGTAAGTACTTCATTCATTAATTATCAGTTCACAGTGTGCAATTGAGTTTTTAGCATAGTAGAGGAATTGACTTAAAGTGCATGTGTATTTCTAGCCTTATTGTAGGAGCTCCTAAAAACAGCAACAAACTAAGCTCTGGGGGTGATGTCTACAAATGCGATATAAGTCCCGATGGTGGAACAACTTGTATTCAATATCCTGCAGGTAGGATTCATAGTAGATAGTCTGATCATTTTAATTCGACCACAGGTGACAGGCGCAGCTATGGTTTTTAAAACAAAGGTACCGCGTTATGTCAGAAAAAAATCACCTTCATTTTTGAATATTGGAAAACATCTAAATTTAATATCAAGATTTTAACAAAAAGAGGTGGAATTTGAATGATCACTCGTTATACAGAGACAGAATGTCTCAAATAAAATGACTTTCATGGGGATTTTGGAAATAGAAAAAGAAACAGGGTGGCTCAAATTAGAAATTGGGAATTCAAGTGAATCATAAAATATCGCCTTTTTAAAAAGATATTTCAAAAGAAGTTCACTTTATTAGGGCAAGTTTCTCTCCTCTACTCGATGCTGCTGCTAAATACAAAAACCGAAAATTTGTACGTCCTACGATAAATAGGGGTTTTCTTTTGAGTTCCTTGAACTATATTTACCCAAAAAAAGTGTAGAAACCCAGGTCCGTACTTAAAAAAATCTGGAGATAATTCCAAAAATACAAGACACCTAATTTAAAATTTAATTTTGTCATGTATGAAAGGATGAAAAGTTCCCTTGGACTGAAGACACAATGACAAATACAAGGTACAGATGACAAGAGACAAAAATTTAATAACACGTGTATCAATGCTATAACCCAGAATTTACTTGCCATGCCACGATACAAAATTTCGATTTTATGGTATTTTGTATCTGTCTCTTGTACCTTATTGTATTTGTCATTGTGTCTCCAACCTTAGGGAATTTACACGAAAAATTAAATTGCCATGAAAGGGTGTTCAGTGACAACCCACACCAATTCACTCTCGAATTCAAAACATTCAACAAAAGTTTTTCTTTCACTGTTTCGTTCACCCGAAATACTTGGTCCCCCCTACGTCGCTGGTATTAGAAGAATAAGTGGGTGAAAACTTTTTCACAGGATTGAACAAACACTACCTATCTGTTCAATCTTGTCATTGAAAATTACTGTCACTTGATTTTTTCACAAATTATGGAAATTAATTTTTCAGAGGTTTTAAAAAAAAATTAATTCCTATACACACTGTTTACCTACTCCATTTTTTATCTAGGAGATCCTGTAAAAATTAAATTTTCCGAAAATTATTTCAGTTAAATGTCCTGATTTTTTTTTAGGAAGAATGATAGACTCCAGTACACCAAATGGAAACTTTTTTGGTATGACCATGGATGGCGATGACCACATCAATGGAGCATTAGTTGTATGTAAATTCTTATATTTCAAAAAGTTTCCCCCAAGAAAATGATAAATTTTAGGTGTGTGCCCCAAGAACTTTACCTTCAAATTCGCAACTGAATTACCTTAGAGGTTATTGTATTTATTTGAGGAATTCTTCGGATATAACGCAACAACCTGTAAGGATAGTGCCCCTTGAAAACGCTGGGTCTGGTAATTTTTTTATATATAATAGATCAACTAATTTCAACATTTACACGTTCATTTTTAAGATTCAACGTGTTGTGATTATGGAGGAAAAGCCTACTACAATTTTGGTTTTGGTATGGCAGGATTCGATGTTTCATTTTTTTCTGAGGTATCTAACTCTGCTTATTTTTTATTTGTTAAAATAGTTATTTTTCTACAACAGTCAAAAACAGAGTATTTCCTTTTTCCTGGTGCATTTGCTTCGGACTTTCAAGTAAAAGGTTTTGCTTGAGCTTTTATTTATACTGGATGAAGCATTTGCTTCAGATTTTGGGAGAAAAAGCAAATGCTATTTTTTTATTTATGGAGGACCACCTTTATAAGCGCCTTTACCTGTATGTACAGAGGTGAACTACTTTACACGGAAAAAACACTCCACTATAGTAAAGAATAGTAGCGTTTGCCCAAGAATATATTCGTTTCACTATTCCACAAGACAACATAATATTTAATTCTAGTATTGCCCTATTCTTGAGAATTGAAAATAAGTTCAACTTATATTCAGAATACGGTAGTGTCGAATTCAAAAATAGCCTAGTAATTGTTTTACGAATAAGGTAGATTTGATGATCAAGTATTGTTATTCTTATTTGAAAAATAACTTATAGTTATTACAAAAACTACAAGCTATTTCCAAATATTTCTTATTCTTACTTCAAAAATAGCTTCTTATTGTTTTAACTACTTACCTGTTTACTTACTATTAATATTGAAACACAGTTTACTCTGAAGTATATTTTATTCTTAAAATTCTTGTTTTAAAAATTTATATGATATATAAAGGTATAAACTGATGAAATAATAACAAAACAGTTGATTAAAATAAGTACAATAACAATCATAGATACATTCATTTATTAATTATTCACATACACCGGCGTATCCAGCCCATGCGTCTGCGGGGGCTAATCAGCTCAGGCCAACCCGCCGCAGGCGCCGCCGAAGACGAAATTTTTTTTACCAGGTGCCACGCCCAAACCACTTATTTTGAGCCTTCAAAACAATTTTTCTGTACTACCAACAAATAACGAAACCGAACTCTGGGATTCCCCGAAAACTTTTAAATTTTAGCGAATTCTATAGGTAGAACCAGTACAAAAGATGTATTTTTATCTCTTTCTTATGCAAGCTAGTAGAAAAATACATGAATACACTCAGTGCGCACTATACCTTTCAATAGAATTCGCTATAAATGGTATGCGGGCAGTGCGGACACTGTACAGGGTTATTGGTTATAAATGTCACCCCCCTCTATCTTTTTTATTTGACATTTTAGAAAAAAGTGTTTCAAATAAAAAATGTATTATTATAATTAAGTTTTTTGAAAAACTCACGTTTGCATATACAGGGTGTTTCAAAAAAGCTGGTCGTACTCCAACTTTCTTATTATAAACTGAATGCCCTGTATATTATTCAATATTCGGATTCTACGTGAAATTCTAAGACGATTTCATGTAATATACCCTATACCTAAGTTCAACTGTTTTGGAAATATTCACAGTTGAAAATTGAATTTTTTGCAAATTTGACAGGCTGTAAAACCTAAACGGTTAACTTTTGAGCAAAACCGATCTTAAATTTTTTTCTAAGATTTTCACAAGTTATCATTTGATACCTACTTTGAATTTAACCGAAGATTAAATTTAATTGGAATTTTCAATCAGGGATTAAATTCAAAGTTGATGTCAAATATTGGTGTCAACTGATAGTCTATAAAAATCTAAGATAAAAATGTAAAATCGGTTTTGCTCTAAAATTAACCTTTTAGGATTTACAGCCTGTCAAAGTTGTATAAAAGTCAATTTTCAACTGTCAATATTTCCTAAACAGTTGAACTTAGGTATAGGGTATATCACATAGACATTTGCTCAGAATTTTACGTAGAATCCGAATATCCAATAATATACAGGGTATTCTATTTGAAATAAGAAATTTGGAGCACGATAAGCTTTTCTGAAACACCCTGTATATGCGAAAGTGAATGTGTCAAAAAATTTAATTTCAATCATAAAACTTTTATTTGAGACACTTTTTTCTAAAATGTCAAATAAGAAAGATAGAGGGGGTGACATATAACCCTGTACAAACCAGAAAACAAGTCTGAAGAGAAACAAGAATGTGATCCAGCGTCAGCCTTGAGATTGCAGTCACGTCCCAGCAGTACTTGGCAACGTGGCAGAACTCTGACTGTTCTATAATAGTTTTTTCATCATATTGTACTGTTATCTTACTATGGGCCGGTTTCTAAATAGCGAGTCACCTCTGGGTTGGCTTTAACTCCAGGGGCCCAATTCTTGAAAAATATTGTATACGAAATTTGATATGATTTTGAACGCTTTCCATTTAATCTACATGGCTATTAGTCAAATTCGAATCAAATTTCGATGCGAAGTTTTTCAAGACTTGGGCTACAGGTTAAACGTGTCCAGTTGCAATGTTTACCTTGGAGTTATGGTTAACCCGAAGGTGACTTGCTATTGAGAAACCGGCCCTATAGCATGAACCAAATTGAAATCGAAAAGGTGTTAAAATATAATTAACGGCCGCTGGCCGTGATTTTCAAACATACCCCTAGATAGGAAGAGTGTATAACATATAAAAGTATGAAAAATAGATTTATTTGAAAGGTGTAGGATACAGATTTTTCGTTCATCGCCAGGGATGTTCCAACGTGCACAATTGTGCATATTATGCACAATCTGATCTCAATATGCACCATATGCACAATCTTCATAAAATATGCACAATTTTCACAATCCAGTCAAAACAAAATTATTTTTCTTCAGCAATCCTTTGGCAACCTCGCCTTGCGCCTTGGTTGTGGTTACTGACATCTGTTATTTTGAAAGCTAAGCTCTAGACTTGTAACTGACAAAAAAGAAGAATGAAGACTGGAAGACGGAAACTGGAAGACGGAAACCCAACCTACAACCTTCCTAACAAGTAACAACTCGGTACACACCACTACTACAGGGTAGCCTTTCCTCATATAAGGCCTGTGTGGATCAGATGTCATGCCCCCCTCCCACCTACCTCCAAAGAGCCAGTGTTGACGTAGACAGTGTGTCGTGTCTCACCTTGACGTAGGGTGTTTGTACCACAGGCTATGATTCTGCTGGCTTTTGCTTTATGCATACTTAGTTTTAGTGCATTAATTATCATTCTAATGGCCGCTTGCATCGACCATTCTGAGAGAGGTTTAGCGACAATCAACGCTTAAAGTGATATGTTAAATGAAAAAATGTCACTTTAGGCGTTGATTACCGGTAAACCTCCCTTAAGATGGTCAGTGCAGACGGCCATTAAACAATGCTTTCTCAGATCTCGATCGCATCTTCCTCTTTGCTTTGCCTATTATATTAATCAAAATGAATTAATATTTTTCATCATAAATATATATTCTAAGCTACGACTGCTAGCGCAAACAGCTGATGACGTGGTTGATGACGTCGGTAATGGTGCTACACAATATGACCGCGATTCCCAAAAACGAGACCGATAAGCAATCCTGTGGAATAGTGTGTATTATCCTTGGTAACAACTGTCAATTTAGAGAAACAATATGGCGGCGGGTGCGTGGCTCACTTCTATTTTCGATGTTCATATATCCTTATGAGCCTCATATTGCCGGCTTACTTCCATTGTCATCACTTGTTGGTAAAAAGGTTTATCGCGAGTCACTAATTTTTATTTTTTTTCGTCGCCATCTATAAAAGTCTCATAGGTATATAGATTTTTTGACGACTTGTAGGAATAGGACATTCTACCCCTGCTTTTTATAAAACCCAAGAGATAGCGCTATTAATTACGTCATTCACGTCACATATAAGAATGTGCACAATCTCAAACGAAAATGCACAATTTATTATTGGTTGGATGCACACTTGAAAATTTTCCTGGAACAACCCTGTTCATCGCGACGATCTTGGGGGGGGGTAGTTACCCCCATTACCCCCCCTTGTATACGCCGGTGTTCACATACCACTGGAAGGTTGGGAAAATCCGTTATAGATGTTGCATTTTCTTCACTTTTAACGCCATCAGTACCATTTTATTTGCCAATTTTAATCTAACCTCCATTTTGGAAATTCGCTCTTTACTTTGTTCATCATTCATGTTTAACCATTGTCCAAGTCAATTTCATTTCCTAAAATTAAAAATAATGTTTTTATAAGTAGTTTGTCAACAATTTATCCTAAGGCAAAAGGCAAATAGACTGAATAAGGTACTGATGAAAGATAACACACGGTTTAAGTTTTTCATCTAAATGATGGCCACCCACGCCAATACCTAATAATTTTGATTGTTTTTTCCCGGAAATTGAGTAGGAAAAGTGAAACTCACCTTCAAATATTGGAATTCAACATTCCAAATCCCATTTCTTCAACAAACAATTCATTTTAGCACAAGAAACACTGTAAAACCACAGGTAGCGTCGTGTGGCGTCCTTCGGCGCCGCTCCAACCAAACTTCAACTTCATCTTCAATGTAATGGGGGGAACGCAACATAAAGCAAAGCACAAAGGCTACTAGAAGGCAGGTTGAAATAAGCATGCATTTCATTTAAGAATAATATTACTCTCTTCAAATTATAAGTATTTCAAACGGGAAAATATTTCAATTTAATGTAAGAACAAACCTATATTTGATAAAATATATTTTTTATTCTTGATTTAAGTAAAAAATAATTGAGATGAATATTTGAAGAGTTTCAAAATAACATTAAGCAAATATTTCAATTTATAATAAGGTATTGTTTTACTAAATAAATTATTACTGGATCAAATATAAAATTATAAGTATATTACTACTCTTGGATATAGAATTGCATTTTTTTCCGTGTAAGGTTTAAAGTCAGACCTATAGTTTATTACAGCAACACGAGATGTCAATGCTGTCGACCCTATAGTGTGCCCTAACTTGACTGTCAAAAAAAATAGAAATCTTCATTTGGTTAAATTGTGTGATGGAACGTTTTTTTCTTTTTTTGGCGGAAATTTGAAGTATTATTCTGTTTTACATAAACAGGGTTGTAGTTTCGACCAACGCAAATAATTTTGAACGTTCATCCGTCCGATTTTTTTCTAAACAGTATAGCTACGGGCGTAT